CTACATTTCAAGAGACCATTCTGGCTAATATACTCCTCATCACTGATTAACTGTGTGTCCTTGGACAAGCTACATTTCCTTTCTCAGCTTCAGTTTCCTCATTTATAAAGTTGAGATAATAGTATCTATGACATGGAGTTGATATAAGGGTTAAGTTAAGTAATGAATGGAAAGCATTTTGCACAGTATCTAGCACATAAAAATGTTCACTAAATGTCTCCAACTAAATCACTTTTACCTCATTAAGATTACACTGAACAGAACTAAGCATAATTCACAATCACCAATTATTCAACACAATAAGCAAAAATATCCTTTTAAATGAATCTTGATTCAAATTCTCTAATACTTAGAGGCTGGATATTTCCATACTGAATCAACACTCAGCACTTTCCTCTTACTGGATGCTATAATACAGCCCTGAGTTATATGTGTTTGTGTACACTCCTCACTATCACACACACGATTATCCATCCTTGTGTTACCTCCAGAGCACATAATGCTCAAAACATGGTATACAGGATAGGCAAAGCAGGATGGTGGGTAGGTGAGTGGAGGGATTACCAGATATATGGAGGATAAAAGAGAAGACTCTTGAGAGTCCCTTGGACTCCAAGAAGATCAAACCAGTCAATTCTACAGGAAATCAACCCCGAATATTCATTGGAAGGACTGATGCTGAAGCTAAAGCTCCAACACTTTGGCCACACGATGCAAAGAGCCGATTCATTGGAAAAGACCCTGATGGAAAAGACTGGAAGGCAAAAGGAGAAGCAGACAGCAGAGGATGAGATGGTTAGATAGCATCTCCGACTCAAAGGACACGAATCTGACAGGAGAAGGTGGAGGACAGAAGAACCTGGCGTGCTACAGTTCATGGGGTCGCAGAAAGTCAGGCAGGACTCAGCGTGTTAACAACAACAACAATGAAAATAGAATAAAAATCATGAGGGCAAAAGAAGAGAATGTTTCAAATTGAAATATCCAAAATAATAATGTTTTTAGGACTTTCCTGGTGGTCCAGTGGTTAAGAATCTGCTTGCCAATGCAGGCGACAGAGGTTTGATCCCTGATCCAGGCAGATTCCACATGCCACAGGGCAACCAAACCTATGTGTCACAACTACTGAAGCCTGCGTGCTCTAGAGCCCAGGCTCCACAATGAGAGAAGCCACTACAATGAGCAGCCCTCACACCGCAACTAGAGAGTAGCCCCCACTCACCTCAACTAGAGAAAGGCCACATGCAGCAACGAAAACCCAATGCAGCCAATAAATAAATACAAATTTTTAAAAAATAATGGTTTTGAATAATGAGCAAATAAAATGGATAACTGATCATTTCTTGCCATGTTTATTATTCTGTTCACGCGTTTACATAGTACCAGACTTCCTGATGAAACCCTAACAGAAGACACAGTCCAACTGTAAGGACATACTGCCTTCTAATCTTGCTTCCTCTCTACTGAAGATATTTAGCAACACTCTGAAACATGAAAGAGGTACTTCTCATATTTACCAAAGTAAGGAAGAATGATGAGAAATAGAAACAAAATTGAGAAACCTGATGTATTTGACCTTTGCTTTTTCTATGTGCTCAGATATCTAAGTGTGACATCAAGAAAGTTCATGCGTAGAATTCCTCTTTCCAGACTTTGAAACAAGGATCCCCAATAGCTGTCGCAACATTCATTCAGTGATCTTGCATCTAAATATGTGAATGGTTTCTACACACTTAAAAGGCAGGAATAGAGATGCAGATATAGAAAATGGACATGTGGACATGGAGAGAGTGGGTTGAATTGAGAGATTAGGCTTGACATAAACACATCACCCATGTGTAAAACAGATAGCTGCTGTACAGTATATGGAGCTCAGCTCGGCGCTCTGTGGTGACCTAGAGGGGTGAGATGCTGGGGCAGGAGGAGGGTGGAAGGAGGGGAGGAGGGGGAAGGGGTTGCAAGGAAAGGAAGGTCCAAGAGGGAAGGGTTATATGCACACATACAGCTTACTCACTTTGTTGTACTGCAGAAGCACACAACACTGTAAAGCAACAATACCCCATTTTTTTAAAAAAAAAAAGGGGGTAAATGAATGAAAAGTGACCTTATATCCAAATATAGAGGACCACAGAAATGTGAAAAGTCACTAATTTAATTAAATAAAATTGGTAAAAGAACAACTAGGTTCAGAAAATAATCCTTTACTGGAAACTGTTCTGTAACATACAAAATACTTTATGCATTGTCTTATTTTTGATCCCCACAAATCTCTTAAGAAAGCACAGTTAAAAAAGAAAGAAAGAAAACACAGTAGATTATGCCTGCAGTTTATAGACATAAATACTGACACAATGAGAAGATGATTTATCCCACGTCTCTAACCAGTAAGTAGAAAAACTGGAACTCTTACCCAGGCCTTGTTAGTGTACATTCTGCTACCCCAAACTAATGCAATTTGGTAAACGGGGAAATTTGTTAAAACGTAGCTTATTTCTATTTAAAAAGAGAAGAGCCAACTATGTTTTTTTTAAAGTTGTAAGTAGCATTATATTAGAATTCCTCCTGGACTATTATAAATCCTTTCAAGCAGTACAATAATCCCTTTATATAAGGATAATGTCTCCCCATCATTAAAATAATGCACACTCCCTAACTGCAGATAATAACAACAACAACAAAGCTCTCTCCGCTCGATACATACATGCCAGACTCTGTCCTACATTGTCCACACTCACAGACTTCAATTTTTACAGCAGTCTTATGAGGTAGGTATTATTATTATGACCATCATCATCATCATTATACAGATGGAAGAAAGTGAAGCATAAAGAGGTTGTCATTTGTCTGTGCCCATTTGGCTAGGAAATTGGTTCAGAAACTTTCAGCTGCAATATTATGCTGCCTCTGGAAACAGAAGCCCCTTTATCCCAACCCCTGCCTTATTAGATTCAACCAATGGTAACAGAAAATCTGTAGTGAGATTCAATTCAGTTCAGTTTCTCAGTCATGTCCAACTCTTTGTGACCCCATGAACTGCAGCACGCCAGGCTTCCCTGTCCATCACCAACTCCTGGGTTAAAATGGTGTTAGTGAGATTGTGTACAGTAATATAAATTTAATATTGTGTATGATAATAGTAAAAATTGTGTTAGTGAGATTAACACAATTTAAACCCTTTCCACGTCTGCTGATGCAATACCAATCTTGCTGACCTGTGATTACACTTCATCAAAGTGCTAGAGAACTCACATATAAAGTATCTAACAGAGAACCTAGCACAAAGCATGCAGTTAACAATTACTGAGAGTCTACTGTGTGTCTGGCAATATTCTAAATGCTTTTCTCTACATATGCACTCCACAAATGTTAGCATGGTTCTCTTTTTGTCTTAAAGGATGTGCTATGTATATGCTCAGTTGCTCAGTCGTGTCCAATTCTTTGCAACCCCATGGACTGTAGCCCGCTAGGCTCCTCTGTCCATGGGACTTCCCAAGCAAGAATACAGGAGTGGATCGCCATTTCCTCCTCCAGGGGATCTTCCCGATCCAGGATCAATGCAGCTCCTGCATTGGCACGTTGATTCTTTACCACTGAGCGACCTGGGGTGAATCAAAAGCTGTTTCTTTGGAAATTAAGCTGGGCAACGGAAAAAATTCTTTTCATGAAGGCAAGGACTGTTATATCAATGGGAATAAACAGCTGTTGTATGTGGGTTGTTAGGGACTACTGTTGCCCCGGCCTTTGATGAGACCCAGATGCACATGAGAAAGTACGAAACGAAGTATCAGAGAGGAGACTGAGGTCATAAGCTGGACTCCCCACCTACAGAGAGATTTCCTCTCCAGGAAAAGTAAAACTTAAATCACAAATACATTAGAAGTTTGATGGATTTTCCAAATCAATTCTGGGAATTTTAAATAAGTTGCCTCTGTAAGCTCTTTTAAATATTATGTGTTCTCGACATTTTTAAAGTAAAAAAAAAAAATACTTTATTTAAAGGAACTATAAACACAAAACTTCTCAGAAATCCACATATCACACAGAACAAGGTACAACAGTCTTCCTTGCTGAAACTACAGTTTGGAGAAATTGGGTTTCACAATAAAACTAACCCACTAATTTATTCAAGAATTGATCAAAAACTACCTTGTGTACTTCGTGTTAAATGAAGTAGAAACTTTCCCTTCCCACTATGGAAAGAACCATTCTTTAAAATGTCAGTGACTACTTAATTTTTTAACTTTCTATTCTATGATGGAGTATAGCTGATTAACCATGTTGTGATAGCTTCAGATGCACAACAAAGAGACTCAGTCATACATATACGTGTATCCATTCTTCCCCACTCTCCCCTCCCATCCAGGCTGCCACCTAACATCAATGACTATTTCTAACTTGCCACAATGATTAGTTCAAATGACATCAAAATGGTCATATAAAATATTATGACATTGATTTGGGGGAAATTATATTTATATATATATGAAATTAAATTCAAATTTATAAATACATATATTTATGAAATTAAAAGCAAGTTCTTTCATAAAGGTAAACATATTCAGCATCAGTGGACCTCAGAGTAAGTCTAAAGATGCAGGATGTCTGCTCCATCTAGTAAATTATCCAAATAGATCCATATCTTTCTCCTCCTAAAGGTTCTTCAAATTCCTAGTTGATTAATATATTACATCTAAACAAGAAAGATATAGAACTACTTACAGTAACAGAAAGGGGGAAAGGTGGGAGGCAGTAAACACAACTAAGGCAGAGATCTGGGTCTCATTGTACATTCCACAGCAATATGAATGATATTGATTTTCAGATTAGCTGTTCTTTTATATTATTCATACCTCCTTTTCCCTCTATTAGTGAAGAGAACTAAATTGTCTGTGTACTTGCTTGAGTCCACTGAGAGGCCTGAATCACCACTTGGAAATATCCATCATTCCTTTAAGATCAATCTCTACTAAAAGCCTGCAGCAAAGTGTTAATGCACTAACCTGTCTCCGGTTAATGGCAAAATAATGGTGGCTTGAGAAGAAAACACAATGAAAGATAATCTCATTTGAGGGCTGCAAAATAAGAAAAGAGGCAGTTAAAACATTTTTGAAAGAAATATTGATATAATACAGATGTATAGCTAGGGAGTCTCATTTAAAATCAGTCTCACTGAATGGTCCAGGCTTCTTTTAAATGGAACCCCTAAGTAGATACATGAACTCTGCTCAAAATTACCATTATCACATAAGTCATTCTGGATTTAGTCAGTGCTGCTCAAGACTCAGGCACTCCTCTCTGACCCACAGGGCCATTTTAGGAAGAAATTACCTAGAAAAATAAATTCCAGGCCAGTGGATTTTTTTTTTTTTTTTTTTTTTTTGGAGAAAGCTCTTTCTTAGGCCTTCTACCTCATCTCTTTCAAGGAGGCCAATCCCTTCAGAATGATTATCATAGCAAGTTTAGGGCTGGAGACAAGCCAGTTTGATTTAATTACCACAACTATGAGAGGAGTTCATACAAGTTATCTTGAGGTAGGATTACTTAAAGAGTGTCAAGGGCAATGTGAAAGAGAAGAACAAATCACATTTTGATTAGACATGTTCGGCTCTCTAAGTCTTAAGCATCATACTTCTGACTGGCAACAACTGCCCTAGTTAGCTACACCTTTTAAGCTCTAAGCCTTGATCTCACAGAATGACTCCTGTTTCAAAGACACTCTATGCAACGTTAATTAAGATCTGAACCTGAAGCTGTAACACTCAGCTCTATAAACCGAAGAGCAGAATGATGCCCAAGGGTTACACATATTTGAAAAGTCATTCTCTTCAGTAGTCACCCTTTACTCATTTCCTACAATATATTATGAGTTAGTAACTGAACAACTAAACTTGTGCCAGAGAACTGTGTATTATAGAATTCCAATTTTAAACCAGACCAAATAAGAGACCTACTTCTTGGAAAGGTACTGAAATGACCCACAGCTTTTGATCAAAATCTATGAGACACTCTGCACACTCTTGGCTTAAATCAGAAAATTTATCAAGAACTCTCTCTCCTGCCTTTGACACTTAAGGATATAAGGCCTTGTTTATCTTTCTTTCCTAGACAAGTTTACCTTAGACCCTGTCCAGAAATGAGTGTTATACTTGGCTTCTTAAACAGGAGACTGATGACTGAACAAGGACAAGCATACATTTTTATAGGGATAAGCTTACTGCTGCCAATAACTGAAAGCAAGGATTTCCTAGGCCTCTACAGATTGTTTGAAGTTACTTGCAACATGACTTTCAAAATGTTTTGATCATCCAAGCCTGTTTTAAAGAAAACATTTGGGCTAACACGACTGAAAGAAGCAATATTTAATGATACAGCTCCTTTTCATGTCCTTTCCATTATCTTGATAAACGTTGCATTTCCTCATTGCATTTTTTTTTTCTTTAAAAAGAAAAAAAAAGAGGAGGAAAAAAGCCTCAAAAGCCTAGTGTCCTAGGGTTACTTTTAAATAAGAAAGCCACTAATTTCTGGTTACCTCTAAATAAGAGAGTAAGCTGGCTATCATAGCAGTTATGCTTTTTATAGGAGACAAACCAATCTTTCCTAGTAAGGCTTATTGCATATATAGAACAGTTAAATTTTAAACCAGCCACACACCCACACATTGTGTAAACACAAGTCATTTCTTTAAACACACACACACACACACACAAGTGCCTTTTCTGGTAGTGGATTATTAACACATGCTCATTTGAAGTTTACCAACACTTTTTTTTCTTAATGAGGACCTCAATAATGCTAAGAATTGTGTGGAATGGAAAATATATTATGGGTATTATTAGCATAAACTTTTAAAGTGATAAATTATGAGAAAGCATAAATGAAATTCAAAACAGATGAAAACTCAGAAAGGAAAAGACATTTGGAATCATATCTGAAGATACTTCCCCAGAGCCTGAGCCAAGTTTCTGGGCTCCAGATGAAATAAGCCCTCAACAACTGAAGGGCTGTCCTAATAACAGCGTGTGTGTGATAAGACCTTGAGGCACTTAAAAATCAACACTTCAGGAAAGGCTTTCCCTGCAAATGGTTTCCAAAAAAGGATACCCTATCTAGCCTTTGGTCTACTTGCCTCCACCTCAAAGTCCCCTGCTTAGAAAAGGAAAGTAGGAGAGATACCTTACAAATCTCTCTGTAAGTTGTTGGACAAAATTGTAAATTTGAATCCAGTTATTTGCCACACTCCCAGACCTGAAAAAGAAAATTGAACGAATCAGAAAAACAACATATTTACAGGGGTGTCACCTGACCTCTTCGTCAAGCCAAGTTAACAGGATCAGCAGCTGAAAGGTAGGTGCTACAAGAACCTAGGAAGTCTACCCATCTTCAGGGACCACCTGCGTGCTGATTGTCCGGAGTTAAGATCCCAGCTCTTCAAATCAACACAGCCTTCCTTAGAAGGAAATGCAAACCACACTGAGTACGTTGGCTGCAGACTGCCAAGCTACAATGAAAGTGCTGTGCTCAGGATAAAACCCGGCAAACTTTAGCCAGCGTGAGGCGTTGAGGACTGAGGGACCCAGAAGGAGTCTTATGTGGGTCCCAGGGTCGCAGAAGGTTACCCCAAGTGACGGCACTCCCATTTCCCAAGAAACCCCACCACTGGCCAGCAGTGGCTGCCCATCTCCCTAGAGAGCCTAGCAGCTCGGGGCTCCTCCTATCATCCCGCAGCCCGCACCGATCCGAAAGCGCTCGCCTCGGACAGAGATAGCAACAGGGCGCCCATCACCGGAGTTACCCCTCGCCCCTCCCCAGGTCGCACAGACACCTCAGCCTCCCCCCCACCACAGCTCACCACCCAGGACCACGCTCCCCCGGAGACCCTGGATCCCTTTTCCCGCACTCACTTGTCCAAGACGAAGTAGAGATCAAAGGCTCCGTGGCAGGAGGGCTGCTCCTGGGCGCTCAGCAGCCCCCCGGGACCGCTGAGAGCGAGCAGCCACAGCCCGGGGACCAGCCAGCGCCCGGGACAGCGGGCCAGGGAGCGCCCCGCCACCATCCTGCGGCCGGGGGTCTGCGGCTCCCTCCTGCTCGCAGCCCCCTCGGCTCGGCTCGGCTCCACTCGGGGGCGACGCTAGGCTGGTGGGAGTGACCAGGGACGCACCCTGAGGTGGGGGGATAGCGAGTCCCCTAGGGCGCCGGCGCCTGGGTCAGCGGGACCCACAGGCTGACAGAGGGAGGGAGACGGGGAAGGAGGGAGGTCCTAGGAGGACAAAGGGAGACTCCGCCGCCGCCGCCGCCGCCGCCGCTGCCGCCGGAACTCTTGACGAATCCCCGTGGAAGAGCGATCCGGCCCTCCCCCTCCCGATTCCGGAGAGTTCCTGCAGACGACCGGGGCCCGCGGCGACTGCTCGCAGCAGAAGTTCCTCCGCCGCCTCGGGTCGAGCCTCCAGCCTCCGCTCGGGAGCGCGGGTCCTCCGGGACAGCCGCCCGGGACGCGGCCGCCGCCGCGCACACTTAAAAAGCGGAGGACCCCTTGGCTCGGGGTTCCCCGCCTCCGCCCGGCACTGCAAACTTTTCTCCCTCGTACTCAGCTCTGGCACCGCGCGGCGGCCGGGCGGTCCTCTTTAGGGGAGGAGGCCGGGCGGCTCCGGAGAAGCCGCTCTCAGCCCAGGCCAGAACCGCAATCCGGCCGGGTCCCCGCGGTGGCAGTGTGCGCCCGAGGGCGGGGCCTGAGCCGAGCCACACACGCACACTTGTGGGTTCGTGCCGAGCCGAGGTGACTAAGGCTTGCCAGCTTTTGGAAAGGAGAGAAGTAGTTTAGAAAAACAGATGTCCTCTAGAAACTAAACAACACCCCTTCCTCTACCCTGCAGGCTCGGCCTGGTGCAGCAGCTGTGGAGAGCAGCCCTTGGCGGGGCTGGGAGACTGAGTCTAGCGGCTTGGAGAAAGGGCATGCCCCCTGGCTCTGCCCCACCCCCATCATCACAAGCACACTTGCTGCTCCCGTATCTAAAGAAGGCAACTTCCTCTTTTTTTAAAAAAAATAAAACTGCTTCATCGTTTCATCTCACTAAAGCTAGAAACTTCTCGGTGTGGGGGGTTGGGGAGAGTAAAGGTGGGAAACTTCAGGAATGAAGTTGTACCTCAAAACATTGCATCCCACTGACATTCATCTCAAGCTCCAGATATTAAGAAGTTCATCTCGGAGCCAGCTGGGTCACTCTTGCCAAATTTGCACAGGAGCAAAAGTTTGCAGGCATTTTGGATTCTCTGCTCACCAATTCTGCACTCAACCTCTCCTCTCTGCCCCCACCGCAACATGCCTTCCCCCAGTGGAAACTGGCTATTAGAACCTAACCATCTGACTGGTATGTTAGTCGCTCAGTCGTGTCCGACTCGTGACCCCGTGGACTGTACCTCCCCAGGCTCTTCTGTCCATTAGATTTCCCAGGCAAGAATACTGGAGTGGGTTGCCATTTCCTCCTCCAGGGGATCTTCCCCACCCTGGATTGAACCCTCCTCTCCTGAGTTTTCTGTATTGGCAGGCAGATTCTTTACCACTGAGCCACCAGAGAATCCCACCAGTGATTGAGAATAACGTTCAGTGTCACCTCCTCTTCATTTGAATTAAGTCAAGGCTTTATGATAAAAAGTTCATATAGTACTACATTATATGTTGTCTCAGCAATTTGAATAGTTGTGGTGCATATTTAACTTTTCGTTTACATTGTCTTTCACTACAACCAGATTTGCAAGCTGTTTGAGGATAGAAATCCATCACCTTAGGATCTACTTTAGGTAAAGAATCTGCCTGCCCATGCAAGAGACACAGTTCAGTCCCTGGGTCGGGAAGACCCCTGGAGAAGGAAATAGCAACCCACTTCAGTATTCTTGCCTGGGAAATCCCATGGACAGAGAAGCCTGGCAGGCTTTAGTCCATGGGGTTGCAAAAGAGTGGGACACAACTTAGCACTGAAAACAACAATATGCCTGGCACTGTTCTAGGACCTAGAGTTAAAGCTCAGAATAAGATGACAAGCCCCAGTTTCTATGAAGCTTGCAGTCTGGTTGAGGAGGAAAAGCAGACAGAAATACATAAATAAATGTCCATATAGAAGGTAGCTCACAGAGATTTAAAATACGATCATATGATAAAGACCAACTAAATGACTAACAAAGAAGGTAGCCATTCGAAGAGCTAGAGAAGGAAACATTTCCAGTGACTGCAACTTTCCAGAAGTATTAGCTTAGCACATTCAAGAAACAGAAAGAAAAACAGTGTAACTGGAGTTTTAGGAGAAAGAGGAAGCAAGAGAGCCAGACAGGGGCTAGCTAGTATATGTGCTTCATAAACTGTGATAAAGAATTCAAATATTTTATATTGTGCGACTGAAGCCCATTAAAGGAGTTCTAGGGGTGGAGAAGGGGATAAATTGTTATGATCTATGTTTTTTATAGAGCATTATAGCTGATATGATACAATGAATTTGGAGACAGCAAGAATGAAAGTAAAAAAAACCAGTTAGGAGACTAGTGCAGTACCAGGGCACAATAAAATGGTAGCTTGGACCAGCATCCCTGTAGTGTCTGAACATAAAGATAGGAATGGGTAAGAACTTTGGTAAATACAGGTAGATCCCCAGTTTGGAAATGTCTGCCACTTAGAGATGGAAATTCCACTATCATCCACTGGACTTACCACTTCTTACCTGATAGGGTAAGGCAGGTACTGATGGGCCAAGTGGCTGATTGAGTGGAAGATAATTTAACACTTTTGTTAGAAAGAAACACAAATCCTCCACTGTTTTCAAGTAAGTGAACTTCAGGGGAAAGAAACGTTCAATGAGAGGGAAGGGTATATTATCAGCATCCCAATTCTGTACACCCTGGTCTCATCTTAAGTTTCTGAAATTCTGATTCTTCTGCAGCCATAAGGCCTCCAGGAATATGCTGCCATCTCTCATTTCAGATTTAGGCCCTGTTGTGGATACACTGGAAGTCCTATGGTTCAGATGGTAAAGAATCCGCCTGCAATGCAGGAGACCTGGGTTCAATCCCTGGGTCAGGAAGATCCCCTGGAGAAGGGACTAGCAATCCATGACAGTATTCTTTCCTGGAGAATTCAATGGGCCGAAGAGCCTGGCAGGCTATAGTCCATGGGGTTGTAATAGATACATTCATCTCTTAGACTTCCCATAGCAGAAGTGAAACAGGCTGACTTTCAGGAAGCTTACATTAACAGCTTGTTAAAGCTTTTTATTCAAGGTTTTTATTATTTACTGTTGGTCAAAATTGATCTCCATTTTCAACTTTCATTTTAATCAAGATAGAATCCAAGATACCATATTCCTTCAGCAATGAATTTAGCATATTAGTACATGACTGAATAAAATGAGGGTTAGGGGGGATTGCCAAAAAGCAATAACCATTGCTTTCAAGTTAGAAGATGACAGAAGGTAAGGAAGTATGTGTCTCATGCACTCTGTCCTCATGAGGAAGCATTTTAAATTCACATGCATTGGCTTCTTTTCCCCAGGTTCCTTGACCCATTTCTGTTCAATTTCCGGGATGCCACAAACTAGTTTAAGGACCCATCTTGTGTTAGGAACAAACTAAAGCAAAATAATTTGGAACTAAAACTTGTTCTTCCTCCAAATTCCTAGGCCCTCCTAGACGTCTCTCATTTGGTTCTTCTGTCCTGACAAAGAAGGAAAGATTAATCCTTGTTGATTTTTTGGGTAGTTAATCCAGCCCAGTTCTGAAATTTTTATCATTTCAGCAGGGATGTGGCTTCATCTAGCACAGGCCAATAATTAACTGAATCACTTTCATCTAATATAAATGAGTGGGAAGGTCATTAATCTACTGGGGCAACCAACTGTCCCGATTTGTCCCAGACAAAGAGTGTCCAGGGACATGCAACTTTCAGTGCTGAAACTGGGGCAGACACTGGGATGGTCCCTAAAGAGGGCTGTTAGTCACACTATTTCCAAGAAATAATGAGGGAAGGTGACAGTGAGGGCAGACTTAGGAATCTCAACAAGCCATGAAGTAGGAGAGGTCACAATAGTAAAACTTTCTCTTCCCCCACTCTGGGGAGAGAGGACTCAGGCCTTGTGTCAGCTGGACAGTAGCCAGGTAGAGCTTCAAATTGGCTTCTGTACCATTACAAACATTCTGGCACTCTGTTTAACTTTCTTTTATTTTTTTTTTAATTTATTATTTTTATTTGGCTTCTTCAGTTCTTAGAGCATGTGGGATCTAGTTCACCAACTGGAAGTTGAACCCAGGCCGTTTGCATTGGGAGCACAGAGTCTTAGCCACTGGACCACCAGGGAAAACCCTAACTTTCTATTTTAAATAAAAAATGAGATAAGAAATGCAGATTTTTAGCAGAGGGGGGACAGTTCAACTGAATGCTTTAGATAAATAAATCTAAAATACTTCTCTTTGATCAAATTATCTGCATTTCTGCTGAAGTAGTTTGCTTCATAAACCATACAAGCCCCTACTCTTTGAAAGTTATTCTTTGTATCAAACTGAAGTTCTAGTTCAACTTTAGAATTTATCACCTTATTATAAAACATGCTAATAAATCCAAGGACATTTTAAACTCAGTTTAGGACAGTTAGACATTGACACCTGATTAAAAGTATCCACTAGGCCTTTGGTCATGTCCCATCTCTTAAACCCACAGAGCTCCTATGGGTTTTATGTTAAATTTTATTTATTTACTAATTTTTATTTAAAAAGTATTTATCAATACCTACTAGGTATCTGGTAATATTCTAAGCATATAACTTATGCTCTCAGGAGTTCATCTTTCCAAATAAGTTACAATAATAAACACAGGAAAATAGAAATGAATGCATCCTTTATGTGTAAAAAGTCACATAATCTATATTATTTATAAGTAGATAACTTTGTATGACATGTACAGCGACCAACGTCATGCTCCTGGAAACTACCACAACGGAAGTGATTCATATTCACAGTACCTGTAGAGTGATTCATTATATAACTACCATGATTCACAGGAAGACAATAAGTACCTAT